TCCCTGTGTCTGTGGCTCGCCATCTCCAGTGCAGAACAGACTGCTTGGGTTCTGGGATGCTGCCCTCTATCGCTTTTGACAATCCTCCCATATGGTAGAGCCCAGTATGGCAAGGGCCCCTCTACAGCAATATATGGTGCAAACGAGACCCATGCAAATCAAAACTGGAGTTTGAATTATTAAGGAAGGAGGCAATCTGAGGAAACCCCGCAAAAAGGTGGAGTGGGAGCAGTGGGACTTGGGGGGTGAGCGTTTCAGGTGGTGGAGCCTGGCTCAGCTGGGCTCAACTCGAGTTGCCAGATAAAATACGAGACGCTCAGTTAAATTCGAATTTCAGACAAACAACTAATGGTTTTTGAGTACAAGTCGGCCACAAATGTTGTATCTTATATTTGCTAAGTCTGGCAATGCTCGTTCAAACCCCAATTCCTTCCTGAGCTGTCAGAGCTCCGGCACGTCATTTGGTTCCCTTCGAGCTGCAGTTTCCTCCACGGTAAAAGGAGGGGCTGTTTGGAAAGTGCACAGCCTCACATCCAGCACAAGGGCGCTCCAGTGTTGGCGGTCATCATAAACGGAGGACTCCCGCTAAACCCTCCCATCCCGGGGGCGGCGGGGGGGGGGGGGGCTGTAGTCTCAGTCTGTTGGGGGGGGGGGGGGGGGCTGGATTTCGCTCTGTGGGCTTCACCTGCTTTGAGCCCAGGAGCCTGGACCCCTCTCGAGAAAAAGCACTCACCTTCCAAGCTGAAAATCCTGTCCCCCAGGGCGTCGACAATGTCCTTCAGGGCCGCCTCATCAGTGACGTTAAAGAAGTGCTTGTCATCGGGGTCACTGGCGATGTATTTGATTTCGTTTAGAAAAGCTTCTGGATTGATCCCCCTGCGGTTGTAGTAGCCCAGGACCTGCCAGGGAACAGGGGCAGGGGCGACAAACCGGGACATGGCACAGACCTCCCCACACTCCCACGGCCCCAGACTCGGACCCTGTTCTAAGACAGGGTTCTGGGGCTTGGGAGTGTTTTCTAGTTTTCGGAGCTTTCAGAACCTCCCTGGCAATGGAGAAAAAAACACCCCACGGCTGTTGCAGATAAACCTGGGCAGGACGGAAAGGAGATTCTCAATTGCTCTTTAGGAGAAGGTGTAACAAGGAGAGGCCCATCTGAGGGCCTGGATGGCTGGTTCACTGCCCAGAACCACCCCCCGCCCCAGAGTCCCCCAAGGGGTTGATGGCGAAGCCTCTAGAGGGTGGGTAGGGGCAGGACAGGCAGGACAGGACTCACGGCCACAGCGTATCTGGTCACGTTGTCCCTCTCGCTTTGCTGGATCACCTCCTCCAGGTCTGGGCTGTCATGGGACTCCCCATCCGTGATGACAATCATCACCTTCTTGGCCCCTTTCCTTCCACCCTTCTGGAAAGCCTCTGAGCTGGAACCCAAGCACAGGGGGAGGGTCACAGAGGAAGATCGGATGGGGCAGGCCTGGCGCTCCTACTGCCTTGAAGCCAGGGCTAAGCCCCTGGGCAACCCTACACGGTGTTGGGACCTCGAACCAAAGAAGAAGCTGGATTGAGATGCCCAGCCTACTTGTTCGCCAGCTGCTCAGATGTGTCTTAAATCTGCTTGTCTTTAAACAGTGACTTTAAAAAGCCCCTCTCAAGGTCTGATCTTGCTGTTTTGGGGAAGCAGGGGGAGGCAGTGGGTCTGGGAGGGGAGTTCAGGGTCAGGTGGAGACCTTTAGAGGCCCTAATTCCACGGTTCAAAAACCCAGCCACACAGTAGAATCATCTGGGGAGTTTAAAAAAAAAAAGTGATGCCCAGGCCCCACCTGGATTCATGAAATCAGAATTTCTGGGGTATGGCCTGGGCACCAGCATTTTTCAAAAGTTCTAATGAACATCGGAGTTGAGAACCACTTCCCTCAGTTCTGAAAAGGTGACGTGCCAGAGCAACTCAACAGCCAAACAATGCTGTTCCATAAAATGTTTGTGATGAAGCCTGACAAAGTTCCGATTTTTCCCAGGAGAACCACTTTGATTCTACTTTGGGGACTATTAAATATAAAATTCTATGACAAATATTTCTCTTTCTTGCTTTTTCTTTTGTTTTCAGTGGCCGGAGCAGGTGCTTGGCCTGCCTGCTGGGCAGTCCAACCAGGAGCCAGGGGGCTGGCGCGCTATGGACTCTTGGAGATGGTGACCCATCTACAAAGCAGGAAAAATTGGCTCCTGAACCATCACTGGCTCTTGGTGCCTGTGTGAGGCCAACTCTCCTTCAGACCATGAGGTTCTGAATTTTTCAATAAGGACCTAAAAATAAATGTTACCCTTAAACTCTGCAGTGAGTCCCCAAAGGTCTGACCCACAGGTTCAAGCACCATGATGTCAGGTTAAATCCCATCACCCTAAGGCTTTGGTTACCAGGGGTATCTTTTGTTACACAGCAAGCTGATGAGCTGATGTGCGTGATTTAGATGTTAAGGAATTCACAAAACTTGGAATAAATTAGTTCAGAGCATCTTCAAGCTACCAGTTAAGAGAAACAGACCATCTGCCATTCTCTTAGCAATTCTATGATATTCTGGATATGCTGGCTTAAAAAACTCCTCTAATTTTAGTGTGAGAGGTGGACTGAAGGGGGGCAGAGGCACACTTGACATGACAAAATACAGAGAATATTTTGGGCTTAAGCCTGACTCAGTGGAGGGAGAATGCTGCTAGTTCTTCAAAGGACACTCGAGATGCTTCCATGACTTCATTGGAGGGCCAGGTCCAGGAACAAAACTCCAGGAGAAAGAATATGGCAGGGGAAAAACAGGCTTTATTACATATGGAGCCAAGGAAATTTCAGGATCATATTTCCATAGAGTGGAATGGTGTGAATATCTGTAAGAATCTGTAATAGCATAAATATTGGCATGAATCATCAGATTTAAAATTGTGAATTTGTATTGTGTTTTTACACACTTGGACTTGGATTTGTTGCTTTGTAAATCAGACTATAACTTCCTGGAATGCAGTGAAAGCTTTATACTCATGACAGTTTCCATGAACCTGGAAGCCAATGTGACGCCATGGAGAAAGGTCATATCACGTCTCCTTTCTGCTCGAAAACTGTCCTGGCTCCCATTTCTCCTAGGTCCTGATAATGGCCCGAGAAACCCTTGGTAATCCCTCTGAGCCCCTCCTCCTGCTGGAATCTTCACTGATCCTGGAACCATCAGGCATGCTCCTGTTTTAGGGAGGAGCTTTATCTGAGCTGCTCTCTTTTCTGGAACCTCCCCTGCCAGTCACCTGCTTGGCCAACTTCCTCACCTCCTTTAAGTCTCCACTCAAATGTCAGCTCTTGGTGAAGCCTTCCCTGACTACTTGGTTAATGCTGATTAAATACCTGCCCTCCCCAACCTGCCTGACTGCCTTTACCAGACTCTATTTTTCCCCCATAGCTTGTGTCTCCCTCTAGCATACTAGCTCTTTATTTGTTTTTTGTTTTTTTGTTTTTTTGCTTATTGTCTGCCTCACCCTCTAGAATATCAGCTTCACAAGGGCAGGATATTTATCTGCTTTGTTCACTGATCTATCCCAAGTGTCTAAAACAGTGTGAGGCACATAGTAGATGCTCAATAAAAAGTGTTGAGTGAATGAAGGTGGCATTGCAACGCTGTCCTGCCCCCTCCCCTCAAAGCCACACATGGCTGCCAGACTCACCTTCATGCGCACATTTGATGATGACATTCAAGAATCTTCAGTGGCCAATCACGCTTGTTTTAGCTACAACGTTATAACTCTCACAATCTGACTCCAAACCATCTTTGCAGCTGCAGGGCTTACTACTCCCCAACACGAACCATGCTCAGAGCAAGGCTCTGAATGTAAACGTTCCTCAGCTTTCCCTCTCCTCTGCCCTTATTGGGGCAGAATGTCTTCTGTGGAATGTCTTCTCTCCACCTCTCCCTGCTGTAATCCTGGGGTCTGTCAGATATCCTCCATCTTGGCAGTCCTCTCTGATCCCTCCCTTGGAGCCCTCCTCTCTCATCCTCACTGAGTTAGGGTGACGCTTACCAGAGCTCCCCTATTAAAGCAGGGGTCACGGGTTACCCTCTTTATAACCCCTCAAGTCCATAGCCTGGATCTTTGTACTTTAGTAGGTACACAGAAAACAATGCATTATGAATAGCTGAGTTAGGAGAGAAAACCTTTTACCTTAAAAGGCACCAGCTGTAATTTGGGACCCAGACTTGGCCGGGAAGATCAGATTTCAAAGCTCACTTGAGGTGTAGATCGCACACCCCAGCAGTGCTCGTGAGTCATGATGGTTCAAACTACTAGGTGAGTCACAAACACTTGACCTGGGGGAGATGGGCTGTGAAATGAGATGGAAGCAGTGTGCTCCATCCCGGTGGGAGTCAGTTAGCTTCTCACTGATAGCTCAGTGGGCGTGGGCTTCCTCCGTTCCCCTGGCCACTTCACAAGAGCCTGCTTGGGGTCTCAGGGACTCACCCTCATGAGGGCCCATTTCTCATGAGGGTGAGTAAGAGCCATCTTTACACAGAGGGATGCTCATTTAGGAAAAAAGCTTGAGCAGGTTTTATCAGTGAACAGAAATACACTGGTGGAGCAGTAACTTAATCATAAAGAGTAGTGAAGTTGGGTGACTTCCCTGGTAGTGCAGTGGTTAAGACTCTGCACTTCCAATGCAGGGGGCCTGGGTTCGATCCCTGGTCAGGAAACTAGATCCCACATGCGTGCCGCAACTAAGAGTTCTCATGCCAGAACTAAGAAGCCCATGAGCCACAACTAAGGAGCCTGCCTGCCACAACTAAGACCTGGTACAACCAAATAAATAAATATTTTAAAAAAAGAGTTAATCTTATGACCACATGAAATCATGTTACTACTAAATAGCTTTCACATTGTAGCATTCTGCTAAACACGTCGACTAACCCTATGTGAGGTGGGATTATAAGGTAATGGGACGGTGGTCTCAATGAACATAGCAGAGCTCATATTCATAGGTGTAAAATTTATACATTTAAAATCTAAATGTCTTGGACATAGTTATCGTAGGAGTTTAGGCCACAGCTGGAAAGGTCTGGGGGAATTGACTTTAAAAATCATTCACTGATTCCAGTGGGGTTGAGTACAGTGTTCTGAGCCATGGCAGAGTTACTGGAATAAGCCTGTAGCTATCTGTCTGGATGACTAGAGATAGCATTCATTATTATTGTGAGCTCTGCTGTGATGTTCAAGGGAACAGCCTCATTGCTCTACAATCTCAGATGTTAGATTTAACTATGTTCTTCACATTCTACTGATGACGAACACCCCACAAGAAGATTCTGCCCTCATACAACCCACACACTTTTCATAGGGTCTCTGTGGCAGAACATATTTCCTGAAGTTGACTGGAAATCCCAGCCCCAAAATGCTCTTCTGTAATGTGACCTTGCCATTCCTCCATCAGGAGGGGAAATTAAATTCTCTTCCCCTTGAACCTGGGCTGGCTTCAGTGACTTGGTCAATCAAAAGACTATAGCAGAAATTATATTCTGGGGCTTCTGCAGCTAGGTCATAGGCAGTCTCAGAGTTCCTGTGTGGATCTCCTGGAAAACTCACTCTTGGAATGCTTCCTCTCAAAGCCTGGCTGCCACATGGTGAGAGAGCCAAGCCACATGACTACGTGTGGGTGCTCAGATCACCAGCCTCAGCTGAGCTCCCAGCCAACAGCCAACATCCACTGCCAGCCACATGAGTGTGCCATTCTGGATGTCCAGTCCAGTCGAAACTTCAGATGACAACAGCCCCAGCTGACACCAGCCTTCAACCACATGAGAGAACACAAGGGAGAACTGATCAGTTGAGCCCAGCCAATGCCCAGAACTTTGAGGGATTAATTATTGTCTCTCCAGATACTAGATTTTGTGGGGCAGCAAAAGATAACTGTAACTGGATCTGAGATTCAGAAAATTAATTTTTTTTTTTTTTTTTTTTTACCGAGCAAATTCAATGCCAAAGGCCGTCCGGGTCTCTGTTCCTCCTCTCTGTTCAATGTGACTGGCAGCTTCCACCACATCTTTTACAGACCTGTAGTCATTGAGGTGAAATTCATGTACCACGTCTTCTCCGTACTGAACGACTCCAACCTGCAAGTTAGAGGAGAGGGAAACAGGACATCTTGACCCCTGAAGGCTGGCCCTTTGGTGATGAGGTTTCCTGGAGTCATCTCTCTGGGACGGCTCAGGAGTGAGGAGGGCTGGGGACCTTCCCAAGGGAGAGGAACTAAGCATAAGGGAAGCAGGTTCTGCACAGTTCCAGGAATGAATGGCTGGCTTGGTGAGGCAGGTGGGAGGTGCATATTGAGAGAGGAGACTGTGATTTAAAGAAAGGCCCAGCAGATTGAGTTTCTTACTTAAAAAGACAGAAGTTGAGCATAGAATTGAAGTCTAAAATCTTAGGAGCAGTGTGGGTGGAGGGCCATGGCATTGTTCACCAAACTCTGGAACTAAGGTTCTTTCAAACTTGGAAGAGAAGCTTGAAATATTAATAAGACCCAAATATTAATAGCCTCGAAATAAAAACCTTAAAGAATAAGCAAAAACCTACCTATAGTAGGACTAGAATGAAAAAATGTCACTGTCGGATGGGCCCACAGAGTTTATTTGGTACAAGTGCATTTCCAGTGCTGGACTTTCATCCACCGTACCCTAAAAGATGATCTCCCAGTGGTGGGGAACTCATAACTTCATGAGAAAGCCCACTCCCCTTTTAACGGCTCTAATTGTTATAAAATAATTTCTTAGATCGACCTGAAATCTGCCACCTTGTCAGTTCTAGTCATTGGTCCTCCTTTGGCCTGCCAAAACAATACGGAATAAATTTACCCCCTCATTAGCCAGGCAGCATTTCAAATATGTGCCGGCAGCTATGACCTCTTCCCCTGTCTCTTCTCCAAGATCAAAGTGTCTAATTCTCCCCTGTGCCTCACCCAGCAGGGTGCTAGTGTCTTCTCACTCTCTGGCTGATCAAAGTTTTTGTTAATACGTGGTGTCTATCCCAGAGGACAGTGTTTGACCCACTCAGTGATGCTTCCCCTACACTGTCCCTTGATGTGCCCAGCAGAGATGGGTGTCCTGGGCTGCAGGGCCCTGCAGCTGGCCCTTTCACCTACACCTTTCTAGCACATGTACAGATGCTCCCCGCCACCCCAAGGCAGCATCTGCCATGGGTTTTGGGGGGGGCTTATTTGGAGGAGGAAAGAGTCCCAACCACACTCACCTGGATCTGCCCAGGGCCGATGTAAAACTTCCTGAGGATGTTGATGAGGAAGTGCTGAACCTCCACCCAGGGGTAGATGCTGTTTGAACCATCCAGGACGATGATGATGTCCATGTAGGTCTGGCACCCTGGGAAGTGGGAACATGGTCACAGCAACCCAAGGAGCCAGTGTCTGCAAATCTCTGACCCCCTGGATGATTGTCCAGGGAAGCCTGGCCTGGGAGCTGTCCTCGGGCTGAACATTTATTTGGGCAATGTGAGTGAGGAGCCCAGGAATTCCTGGCTCTGCCCCACCGTTCTGCACTGGCTGTCTGAACAAAGCATGAATGGAGCCCTACTGCCTCTGCTCCTCAACAGGGACTGACCGCCCTTAGCTGGCCAATGTTTGGTAGGCAGCCAACAGTGCCCAAATCAGTACCTCATTATTGTTTATTTTACTGTAATGGGTAGGCTGGCATTACCACTTTCAGCCCAAATGAATGGGTTTCACTTCTTAGGAGGGAGGCACGGTGTAATAGCTAGGAATGTGGAATCTGGCGTCAGACTGTTTGACCCGCGGCTTTGACCCTGGGCGAGTTACTTAACATCCTGGCATCGGTTTTCTCTTCTGTAAAAGAGGCATAATGAGAGTAGAGGATTGCCACGAGGAATGAACAAGGTGATGCTTCTAGGGCTGAGCACAAGGAAATGCTCAAGAATCTTAGCTTATCCTCTTTTTATTTTTTTTTAACCAAACCACTTTGTTAATGTAACAATGACATTATCAGGTCAAGCTCTCGCTGCTTTGAGCCTGAAGGTTTCTCTATATTCTTGTAATATTCATACAAAATTAAAACGAATAATAGAAAGCAACGAAGAAAACATGAAACATTGGTAACCTAACAAATTAGAAAACTTCTCTTTCCATCTAAGTAATTTATTTCTGTTTGTGAAACAGCAGGACTTACCTTGAAATAAGAGATGATACAATCTGATACGATATACGCTATACTGTACCACATTGAAATACTGGGCATCTGCTTATTTTTACTGGAGAATTGCACACTGTTTTCAAATCTACTTTACAGCAGTACAGCAGGGGCCTTCGTGAGTTAACCATTCCAGTAACTCCTGCATCGGGAAGGTGTAGTATGTTGATGTCAGAGCTCACCAGGAGGGGAAGGTGGTGGCTTTGAGCCTAGGCGCCTGGCACAGGTTCTGTGTTTGGCAGAGCACTTTAGAAGCGTTTGGATGCTCAGAATCACCTCCGCTTTAGGAGAAGCTGTGTGTACCCTCTGGTCTCATCTGCACACGCCGCACGCAGCATGTGATGGCCCTACACCTCCAGGCTAATGGTGCCTGATAGCTTAGCCCTTCTCCAGTGTGCTTTCGCCCCACACCTGTGGACCGCGCACCCGTCATGTGCTGGAGCGCCAAGTGCTGGAGCGCCGTGTGGTGCCGGCAGCCACAAGGACACGAGACAGTAACTCCTTGATTAGGAGGGGTTTCTAATCTACTGGTAGGGGCCAGGTTTCTTTTATTTTAAAGCCAATTTTATTAGAACGCATTTATTATTACTGATTTCTTTCTTACGATTTCAAATTTTTCATTTTAAGACACATTGGGAAGAACCTCTGTGGTTGCTAAACATGGCAGAACACGCCTTTGAAACACACGCATGTGCGCACGTACACACGCCCTGTGGCTGATCCTAGACCTGCTGAATTAGATCCTCCGTGGTGTTGGCAGGGGTGGGGGGTGCCCTGGGATCTGGATCTGCTGAGCTCCCAGGGCACGGCTGCTGGTCAGCGGGGTGAGGAGGTCTCCGCCACAGGAGATTCTGGGAGGCTGAGATGGTCACACCTTGGCCCAGAGGAAAGAACCTCTCTAGGGGGTGACACACCTCCCGTGACTGGCTGGAGCCTCCTCCCAGCCCTGGCACTGCCTCTGCCTCTCCCGCTGATGTTTTGTAAGAATAGAATCGACTCCTCCTCGTTGCCCCTAAGGGGACCATTTTCCAGGTCCTGCTGGACTGACCTTCCTCCTCCCTCCCCCCGAGCACCACCTTCCCATCTCCGACTGGGCCCTGGTGCTTGGAGGGAGGCTGCCTCTAGCCAGAAGTGCTAATCCCCTCACCCTCAATAAAACGGGCAGCAGCTGCTTGGGTGTTGGTGGTTAGCCCACAGGAAATAGTGAGGCTCGGAGCCAAGCAGTCTGGCTTGCAGGAAGCAAGGTCTGAGCGTTATTTCCCCCGACTTTCCTGGCAGGTGGGGAGAGAGTGGGAGGTTTTGTGTTCCATGAGGCTCTGGGAAAGCTGGGCAGCGCGTCCTCATGTCCAGGAACACTGATTAGATGGGACTATCACCAGGGGTAGTTCTGTCCTCCTTGGCCCTCCACCTACAGGGCAGCTGCATCCCATAACATCAGAGGGCACCATGCACACTATACTCTAAGTGAACGACGTCCCCAGACTTCGGCAGTGTGCAGCTTGCCTGATGTACATGGTGGGCCAGGAATCTCTTCTTCGCTCAGGGTGGGTTTGCAGTGAGCCTCTCTGGCTGCCAGGATGGTCTTCATAACCTTAGCTCACTTGCCCTGGGAGGGTGGGCCAAGATTATTACCCCACAGGTTACCCAGAGAGCCGGAGCAGGGCGGGGCTAGAGTCCAAGTTCTGCTTTGTAGCCATGGGATAGTGGTGACCAGAGCTCGGAGCCTCCCATGGACTGTCGGTCGCTCAGCCCAAGTCTGTAGATTTGAAGCCACTTACTTTGGAGAGCTGGGGCCACGGTCTTGGAGAACCTGAAGTTGGAGTTGACTCGTGAACACATCCCTGTGGTGTAGTAGGAACTCCCACACTCATGAGACCAGAGGGGGCTGCAAGCCTGTGAAGCACAGCATGGACCCCCCAATCAGCGGGGGGCCTCAGGGAGGGTCCGGGCCCAATAGCCTTTGGCCCAGTCCCAACCTCCAAGACCCAAGACAGAATCCTCCATCTGAGTGCTGTTATCCTTAGGATGTAGAGGGTCTTCTTTGAGTCTAACTTGAAATCTCTCTTGCTGTAACATGTACTAGTTCCCTTGGTTTCAGGTGAAATGGAGAAAAACTAACCTTAGAGTCCTCCTTTGTTGTCTTTTCAAGGGTCCCATTCTCCACCCCATCATCGGGCTGTGACTCTCCTTCCCCCTGCCCACCACACGGGATGCGGGAAAGCACTGTCATCCATGGGAGTGGACCCTTCAAGGGTCTTTCTGAAGAGGTTGCCTGAAGGTCATTTCTGGGCAGACTTCCAGGACAGGGTACCCAAAACATGCCCATGGCTCTTACTAAGGAAAGGAAAAAGAATGTCTCTGCTCTTTCTCTGAAATTTGCTACCAAAAACATTGATGTCAGCCCCTCATTTACAGACTGAGTGATGAGTCCCTCTCAGAGTCAGGGTCATTAAAAATGAAAGCCCAGCTTCTGCCTCCATGTTTGTCCTGCTGCTGGAAAACTCAGGACTAAATTTTGTGCTCTAATTTCCCTTGGTTTGGAAGAATAATTATTCCACTTCCAATCCCTTTCTTTAATTGGCTTTTTTAAAACTCAGATTTTAAAGGTTTTGTATTATCTGTGTCCTTTGTTGAAGCTCTGGTAAATTATTTTTGGAAGTGGGGGAGAATGAATAATGGGAGAGTAGGTAATGGATAATGGCTGGAGGGCTAGAAGGATGATGGATGGATGGATGGATGGATGGATGGATGGATGATGGATAGACCGAATGGATGATGGATGGATGTGGGAGGGGATGGATGCAAGGATGGATGATTAGATGGGAGGATGAGGGGGTGGACTGACATGTAGACAGATGGGTGGATGAATGAATGGACGGATGGATAGATGAATAGAGGGAAGGACATTTGGTTGGGGGATGCGCTGATGAGTGAATGGATGAATGGATGAGTGAATGAGTTAACAAAAGTTGCTATTTATAAACTAGGGTCTTAACCTACCCACAGAGGCCCCAGGGGTTGTATCACACCATCCTTCTTGGACTTTCATCCCATGTTATGAAGTAGGTGAAATCAAGTTAGTAGGCATATGACAAGGAGCCTCAGAGGGAGAATAGGGTCAGACCAAAGCCAAGTATGCGTGGACAGGGCCAGGGGTCCTGTTGCCCTTGGTTGGGGATGATGAGGGCTGTGCGCCAACCATACGTTGAGGCACCTCAGGACTTTCCCTGGCAGAGCCGCTATGCTCTTGTCAAGTCTCTGAGCATCCCAGTCATCTCACTGCCCTGATGTCTGATGCTTCACACCCAAGATGTCTCATGTATCAACAGAAATGAACTGATTCGTGAGAACAGACAGTGACACAAGCCCTCCCGTCTTAAAGTGAGCAGTGCATTTTACTGGGATTTCTGGGTAATTTTTCTCAGAAATCTTCTTGCAGCTACTCTAGGAACTATCAGTCCCAGCCTCACCCACGTTCGTGGTGGTTCACCCGAACGTGATGGCAAGGGGCAGGCAGTGCCAATCCATCACGCCACCTGTACTCTCCCACTGTGTGCAAAGCTTGCATATGCTCGCCTGGGTGGGGTGCAGAGATCTCCCAGCACAGCCTGCTGCTGCCTTTCTGTCCCACACATCTTATCGTCTCTCCCCCAGCCAGAATGTAAGCTCCAGGAGGGCAGGAGCTCTGCCGACTGCTGAATCCCCAGTGCCTGGCATCAGGTTCCGTTCATTGTAAGTGCTCAAAAAAACAGTTTAAATGAATGAATGTCTCTACCACCTCAGCCCAAGTACCCCTCCTCTTTCTTTCTTGCTAAGACTAGTCTCTTCTTTAAAAACAAAACAGAAACCTCCTCTGGGAAGCTTTCCCATCTGATCCTATGCAGTCCAGGTGGCCCATCCCTCTGTATCCTTCCCTCCATTGTAGTAAATCTGCGTTCACTCATTTACTGCTTCCCCTCAAAGTCTTCTCAGGGTGTGTGGTGTGTCCTGTTTCTTTTATCAATTCTGGAGCAGAGATTCAGCCTCTGCCTTGCAAATTGGGCTCCCCAAAGGAAAGGATAGAAGCCCCTACCACTGGACTGTTGAATATCTTTATTTATTCTTATTCCTTTGCAGGCTCTCTGCTTTGCACTCCCCCCAACCCCAAAGGGAAGGTACACAAAAGGGCTCAATCCTTTTTCCTGCCTGAATTGTACCCCCCCTGAAGTTTAGGGCGCAGCAGGCAGAATGGCACAGGCAGGAAGCCAGAGGAGGGGCTGCTCCCCGAGCGCACACGGACAGGCAGCCCGGTGGGTGGGCATGCTCAGCCACCACACGCCCCTCGTGGCCCCAAGCAGAGGGCCTGTGGGGCAGGAAGGGCTCGGAGGGAGGGTGGGTGGGTGGCTCTTACCAGGAAGCTGTTGTCCTTGGGGTTGGTGGCCAGGCTCAGGCCGAGACGCATGTTGTCTTTCCTCTCGGACACGTTGGATAGCGTGACCCTTCCTGGGGTGGGAGGGAGAAACTCAGCCTGCAGCCCCTTCTGCCTGTCCTCTGCCCGGACTCTGCTGCTGCTGCTGGCCACCAGAGGGGCCCGAGGTTGAGTCGGTACCAGGCAGGGTCCTCCCCCATTCTCCCTGCCCCTCTGGATGCCTCACTCGCCTGCAGGTCAGGGCAGCCTTTCACAGTTTACTAAGGCCTTGCCCAGATATGGTCTAATTACCTCCTCTCAACTCTCTGTGAGATGAGGACTGCGAGTCTCAGAGAGGTCACACAAACTGCCCAAAGTCACACAGGAAGCAGATGGCAGAGCCTTCCATCTCCTCGTCCAGAGCTTTCCCTCCCCCAGCCATCCCCCTGTGCCCCACCCCACACAAACCAGGGCTCCCCCCGAAGCTGGTTCCTCTATGCAGGGCCTCCTCCACATTTTTCTTTAAGACAACCTGCCATCAAATGTAGCAGTCCCCTGCCCAACTCTCTCAGGGTCCGGTTCTCCGCTCAGCTGATAAACTGACACACGATAGCTGATTCTTTCTCACAGGGAGCAAATCACCAACTTAACAAGAGCCTTCTAGAGGCACAAGGTCTTGCCCAAGAATGCCATTGTGTGGCTGGTCCCCAGAGGAGTATTCAGGGGCAGGATTATCAGCCAACTGGGTGGAGGGAGAGGGTTGTGGAGATTAAATTTACTAAGCAGATTATATTGGGGAAGGTTTTACTAGACCATTCTGTCAGGCCCCTGAAAGGAAAGAAATGAGCTTGAATTCCCCAGAAGAGTGTGTGTGTGTGTGTGTGTGTGTGTGTGTGTGTGTGGTGTATGCGTGCGCACACATATGCAGACACTTGTCGGGGAGAGTTTAGGGGGAAGTGAGTTGGGTATTTTGTTAAGCCGGAGCGAGCAGTCCTCATCTGCTGTGCGCAGGATCTAGATGTGTTCTCTGCTTCAGGGGAGGGGAGTGATCTCTAAGGGCTCAGGAGCATTTAGCTTTGTCGGCGATTGGAAGTGTGAAGAGTTGGCCGACCCGCTGGGGCCCAGGCCAGCAAGACCTGGGGCCAGGCATGGGCAGAGGCCAGAAATTCAGACCCCCGACTGTACTGTGGGCTAAGGTGGGGCGGCTGTGTTTGTTTGGTTTCCTTCAGTTTGTAGTAAGGTTCCTTTTGACATCCAGCCTCTCTTGGCTGTTCTACGAGTGCCTGGGATTGTTTTCTGTTTTGTCTGTCCAAACCAACCAGAGAGAAAATAATAGTAATAACCCTGGTGCTTTTATGGTGCCTTATCACTTACAAAGTGCTGCACCCACCTGCCCTCCCAGGACCCCCTCTTGGTCCTGGGAGGCCCAGGGGTCACCATTTTCATTTTACAGAGGAGGAAGTCAAGGTGCACAGAGGGTTAGTGACTTCTATAAGGTCAATCACTGATAAATGATAGCGTGGGGACTTGAACCCAGCAGAGCCAACGTTACAGCCCGACTTTCCGCATCTGACAGCAGGGCCGTGGCTGCAGAGGGATGTGGTGAGAAGTCTGGAGAGGAAGCTCCAAGCCCCAACTGGGCAACTTCCTCCCCTCAGCGGCTTGGAGAATTCTGCCCCCCATTTATTTAAAGGGTGCGTCCCCCACCTCACCCCGCCCCCTCTCTTCCGGCCTTGTCTCAATGACTGAGGTCCTCAGTCAAACTGTGGGCCAGGAAGCAGATTCAGGTTCAAGTCCAGCTTCTGCTGCTCGTGGATTTGGAGCAGTCACTAACCTCCCCTCTGTGACAGGAGAGACTTACACCTTTCTCAGTGGGTCTGTGTGAGGGCTGGGGCATAAGCCCCTCCTCACACAGGGCTTGCCTTCCAGAATCACATCCCCTTCCCCTGAGCCCCTGCCGCTCAACGAAAACCCTGGCTTCATCCAGGTGCTGGGAAAAAAAGCACCAGAGGTAGGTAGACCCTTCAACACTGAGGTGTGAATAACTGACACCCACTTCCCTGGAGAGAAAGGAAAGAACATTCCTGGCTGAGTGGGGCTTAGAGCCTGGAGAGGCCATAGGAAAAACTAGGACTCAGTTTTCCCTGCCTTGCATTTTCCACTGTGGGGATAAACTGACAGATGGTCCTCCTGCCTCCTCATTGGGAGGGAAAGAAACTCTCCTCAAATGAGGTGCTTCCTGACCAGTACTCTTCCTCGGCCTCCATGCACTTTGCTGCCCACCGCCTCCCAGCTTAAGCCCCAGTTTCAGAGTCTGGTGGCATCATGTCTCCCATTGTCAGCAGGGGCTGCTCCTCCTTCAGAGGGAAATTAGGTCCACATTGGAAACCAGAGCGATAGAGGAACCTAAATGATGGGTTCATGTGTCTTGGTCCCCACCTGGACCAGGGGCTTTTCTCAGTGGCCCAGGCCCCGAGCTCAGTGCGCACGTCTACCACCACCCCCTTGCTCCCTCTGCCCCAGCCTTCTTTCCGTCCTCCAACAGAGCAAGTTCATTCCTACCTCAGGACCTTTGCACTTGCTTCTCCTCTGCCTGGAATGCTGTGGTCCCACTTGATTCCATCTCACCATCAGACCTTTGCTCAAAAGTTACCTGCTCAGGGAAACCTTCCCTGATCACCTTGCTAAGATAGTACCCGCCCCCTATCTCCTCCCCACCCAGCCTCTCTTATCATAACAGCTGGTTTATCGCACAGCATCTCTCCCCACCTGAGATGATCCTGCTTTCTACTGTAGTTTGTCTCCTTGCTTACTGTGCCCTCCCAGCAGAGCCCTTGGCTCCTTGTTCCCTGCTGTATCCCCAGTAACTAGCATCGGGCTTGGCACATACTAGGTGCTCATGAAAGGCTGGGGGACATATTAGACCTGGGATGGATCCTAGGGTCACACATAAGTGAACAGAGGCTCAGAGAGAGGATGTGAGCTCCCCCTGGACACACAGTGAGGAAACTGTACAGCTGGAAGGAGAATCCGGCTTGGCTTGTTTGGGAGCTCTCAGGGTGGTGACGACCGGGATCCATAAGCCGCCAGCCAGACTCCCGCCCGCCCTGGACCGTTTCCTCACTGAAGCCTGGGCCCCCGGCTGTGCTGGGGTTTGAACTTCCCATCCACGGCCCTGACACAGATGTGGCCAGCGGGAGCATCCAGCACTATGTGCTGGGACAGCTGCCTGCCCTGGGGATCTGGTTTCACATGCTTTCTCTTTGATGTGGGCTTTTCATCCATCTGCTTATCTCTTAAAGCTCTGCCATCTCCCCCCACCGCCCTACCGCCCCAGGCCCTGCTTCCCCACAGCCTCCCCAGGGGACCCCACTCCATTGCTCTAGGATGGAGGCTCCCCTCCTGGAAGAGTGGGAGGCTGAGGGTCCTGCCCTGGGGAAGGCCAGTCCTGGAATCGTAGCTTCTCAGCCCAAATGGGACTTTTGCTCCCTTTTGAAAGCAAAGTGATGGCCTGGCCACTGTCTGACCTTTAGGACAAAGCAGAAGTGCTTTAGAGGAGTGGTGTGTGTGCTTTAGTGGACGCAGGCCGTGCGCACACATGCACACGTGTACACGTAGATTTACAAGGACTTGGAAGGCCTTGAGGCTGCTCACAGCGTCTCCCCTGTGCCCCAGAGTGCTTCAGCGAGGAACAGAGTCATCATTTCAGAAAGGCAGTGCTGCACAGTGGTTAAAGGGTGGCTGCAGATGGCCTGGGTTGGAATCCTGGCCTTGCTGCTTATTAGCTGGGTGACCCCGGGCAGGTCCCCTCACCACCACAGGCTGCCATTAATGATTAAATCTCATACGGCTGTTGTGGGGATTAAATGAGTCAAAAAATACCTAAAAGTGCTTAAACCAGTTCCTGGCATGTGGTGAACAGTATATAAGACATATGAATGTTGGCTATTGTTATTATTTCCAAGTCAGGAAAAAAAAGATAGGAAATGCTCCTGGCTCCCCTGTGCTGAGGGGCTGTGGATGAGGCAGAAGGAGCCATGGCCTGGGACACTGGAGACCTGGGTGTGAATCCTGGCCAGCCCCTGACAAGCTGTGTGACTGTGGGAAAGTCACTTCCTCTCTCTGGCCTCAGCTTCCTCATCTGTAAAATGGGGACAGCAACACCAGCTAGGTCACCTCACAGTGTGACTGTGGGCAGGGACGTGTTTCAGCACCTGCCCCACCCTGGACAATGGCTGGCCTCCTTGTGGAGAGACCAGTGGCCCAAGTTACCCAGGTTGAGCTTGGTGCAGTTCCCTTGGGTCACTGGACACTTGTACACGTCTCCTGTCTTCTGGTGGCCGTTGGTTTCCAGTGGAGCGCCGATGACCAACCTGGGAAGGAAAAGAAGACAAGTGAAGATGCTGGGGGAGGTTCTCCTTCCTGGCAAAGGATGGAACCTGCAGGGCAGTGCTGAGGGGACAGTAGGGTGGGGAGGGTGGGAGGAAATCCTGGAGGGGCAGCCCACACATACCCTCACACTCAGACCTTCGTCTCCCTGGAAGAGGGATGCTGTGGCCTATCCAGGCCCTTGCCAGGATCTGGAGACATAGAGATGAAGACCGCATGGGTCTAGCAACAAATGGGATGGAGGCCATCCCTGTGAGAAGAGGGCAGGGCAGACATCATGGAGGAGGTGTTCTTGAGCTGGGTCTTAACAGACGAACATGAGTTTGCTAGATGGTGGGACTGTGGTAATAGGGGTCATTCAGGCAGAGGAAGGATGATTTTGGAGTGTTGGCCATCTGCCACTACCTGTGGGTGGCCTCATTCCTCACCTTACATGAGTCTTTCAGCTGGTGACCCGGGGGCTGGGGCATGTTGCACAGTGTTCATGGCTGTCCCCTGAGGCACTAAGTCTTTGCTCAGGGTGGGCAAGGCAGCCAGCCGGGCTAAAGAATGGCAAGGGGCAACCACCCAGCTGGGCCTTCTGCCTTGAGCCTATGCCTTTGTGATCTTGTTTGGAAAAAGGGTTTTTGCAATTGTAGTTAAGGATCTCAAGATGAGGTCATCCTGGATTACCTAGGTGGGCCCTAAATTCAATGATGTGTCCTTAAGGAGACACGCAAAGGAGAGACCCAGAGAGAAGAGGAAGCCATGTGAAGATGGAGGCAGAGCTAGGAGTGAAGCTGCCGCAAGCCAAAGAATGCCTGGGACCATTGGAAGCTGGAAGAAGCAAGGAAGATTTCTCCTAGATCCTTTAGAGGAAGCACAGCCCTGCTGATGACCTGATTTTGGAGGTCTGGCCTCCAGACCTGTGAGAGAATAAACTTCTGTTTTGGGAAGCCATCTATCAATACTTTGTGCTAATTTGTTATGCACCCACTGGAAATTAACGCATGTTACTTACATACACATATTTCTAGAGAAAGAGCGGCCACTCCCTCCTGACCTGGCCAAGCCCTGGCAGTGTCACCTCCCTCGGGGCCAGCGAGAATCCCACCACAACCTGGACAGCCCCCAGGCCCTCTCCTTAGAGTGCCCCAAAGCCCCCTCTATGTCTTATCCCTGGCCCACCAGCGGGCAGCACCATTGGAGGTGACCCAGAGTGGCCCAGCCAGGCAGCTGGAATCCCAGTGCTGACGTGAAGCAAAATCCTGAAATTGGGCACTGTGTCCCTTCAGTGTCACCTGCCTCTGGCATATCTGGACCCCTCTAGGCTTTGGGTGTCAGTTCTGCTCTCAGCCACCATCCGCCTGCTTGGCTCAGACCCTGGTGCTAACAGTGAGTCAGGAACCACTCTCCCAGGCACAGCTGCACTATCAGGGCAGGAGGTGCCACGGCTCACACAGCCCTGGAGGTCTCCCAGACCCCTAGGGGCACAGGGACATGTGACACATTGGGAGCGTGCAGACCTTTCCATAGCCCTGCTCTCATGACAACTTGCTACCCCGTGGAAACATGACCCAAAGAAGAAGCAATTGCTCGTTTTCTGGCTTAAGATGGTTGAGAGGGACGGACCCAGAGGTTCAGGCAACACGGGACTTAAGTAGCTTCTTGTGGTCAAATATCTCCCTGCCCCACTCCCACCCACCTCTCTGTGCCATCAGGAAAGAACTAAGGTCCGGCGTGGGAGTTAATAGAGCTCTGTTTGAAATTAGAGTCTATGTAATAAGAGCTGAGGTTTCTCCCCTGGGGACCAGATAATGACAGATTCTAAATATATCCACTTATTAAGCATGCCTATTTTTGACTGGCAGGAATTAACTGGACTCATAAAATCTATTTGTCTAGACAATGTGAGTTTTGGCTACTTAATTCTGCAAGTGATTGTGTGGTCAAGGCTGCTCCATTTTTTCCAGCCCACAAAAAAAAGAGAGAGAGAAGGAGATGGGATAGAGGTCAGTAAGGAAAGTTTGGGCTCCAAGGTTGCTTTTCTGGCTGCTCCCATTTTCAAGGTCAACTTGGTGTGTGACCAAGTGTCCCAGAGCGATGTTCCTTCTAGGACACCACTGCCTGATGGTGAGTGCTTTCTGGAAAGCATGCCTTCGAGGAACACCTCGCAGGGTGACTCCGGAACAATCAGGCACAGCAAGTTCTAGATTAGAAAAAACAAAACCTGGCCATCTTCTAGAAAAGTGATCCCCGTGTGTCTTCTAGAAAACACTCCTGCTGCCTGACAAGGCAGACTCCTCACAACTCTCCCCATTTTACAGAGTGGAACTCTTGAGGCCCCACAGACAACTTGGTGGAGTCCCAGTTACAGGGCAAGATCTTTGGGCTGAGATTCCAGAGCTGGGTGTTTCTTCATCCTGATTCTGTCACCAGCTTTCCGTGTGGCCTGGAGAAGTTCATTGACCTTGGTTTTCTTGGTCATGAAATAGGGTTAACAATTCCACTATTGCCTACCTCCTAGGGTCACCTAGGAGGTCACCTAGGGTCATCTGGGGAGCCACAGATGCCACAAGGCACTGACAAACAGAAAGGGGTATATCTAGGTAAGCTCCTAGATATAGGAGAGTCCACAAAAAGTCCACAAAGACTGGAACCTTCCTAGAAGTCATCTGTCCTTGAAGTGGCCAACATGTGACAATCTGGCAGTAAATAAACCAAGTCGTTGTGACCCCAAATTTGCCTCAAGACCAGGCTGTGTCCTTTTCAAAGAACAAGGGCCACCCCCTACGTCCTATCCCCATTCTCCCAAACCTGATTCCTCTGGGGATCCTTGGCACTTCATGAGGTAGCAGGTCAGGGCTTACTGTTCCCATAGTACAGATGCAGAAACTGAGGCCTGGAGAGGTGAGCTGACCCAGGCTCCACAGTTTGTGGCAGAGCTGGCACTAGTTCTCCTGGGGCAGCTTTCTCTGTGTTGTCCCAAATATTTTTTTTGCCATGAAGGGAGGGCCTGGGTTAGCCCTCTTTGCTGTTCTTGATTCTTGTCATTACGTCTGCCCGTTGGGCTTGAGGTTTTGAGGATATGATTCAGTCTTGCTGTTGGGGGATAATGGCGGAGCACAGGGAAAATGTTTGTGTCACCACTGAGACCAGCCAAATTGCTCCTGGGGTCTGGCACCCCTGCCACTTCCGCGGCCTCAGCCTTATATAGCCATCTGCAGCTTCAGGGCCCGCTGTGCTTCTCAGGGGCTGGACACCCTATACCCTCTGGCATGGGAACCAGATGGCAAACCCCAAAGGTCGTGGTGAGCATCGGGCCCTCTCCATGGGCTGTGTGTCGTGACTCACTGGCTGTGGGCTCCCGGCCTTTCTCCTATAGAGGCAGGGAGCAGGGCTGCTGCAGATTGGAGAATTGGTGGCAGGCTTCAGCCATAGCCCTGGAGGACCCTTCTCTAGTGGTTGCTTTCTAAGCAGGGCCTTGCCAAGGGAGGAGGCTCGCTGTGGGGACGGCCACCTGAGGATGGCAGGATGTGGCCCCTCTGCATGCTGGGCTCCTGGGATCCCAGCATGACATAGTGTAAGAGAAGGGGCCCCTGCATCCCTACCTCACACCTTCTCCAACAAAGCCCAGTGGGGACCTTAGCCCTGGTTCCATCCTTCAAGGCAATTTAATCTCCAAACCTTTTAAACTGCACACTCCTATAAGGAAAAAAGGTAATGTGTACTCCCAATATACGTAAATTTGTATATAAATTATACCAGTGCACAGCTGGCAATCTGTGTATTGAATATCAGTAATCCTATTTTTTTCAGATAAAAGATATACCTAAATAGAACTTGAGTCGTTTTATTTCTGTGCTCCAGTATATACTGTCCTGTGCCTCCGCTATGGTGTGCAGATCCCACCCTTTAAGACCCAGCACACAAAGTCCCACCTGCTCCAGGAAACCCTCACTGATTAGCCCAGGCTTTCGCACATAAGCCAGTCTGTGATCCCTGCTGACTGCTGTGGCCAGTGCTTTAGTGTCATAGTTCCTTGAGGGCCAAGATGCCCTCATCTGCCCTGCCTCACTAATGTAGGGTGGTCTTGAAACCCAGGGTAAAAGGTCCCCAGGGACTGTTCTGACCTTCTGTCTGACAGTCTTACAGCAGCAGCAGCTTCCAGAGCTTTTAGCTTTGCCTCAGGCCTAGGAGGAGCCTCCAGATTCAGTGCCTGGAAAAAAGGTTGCTGAGAAATCGAATAGTTTCTGTGCGCAGAGGTTCAATGCAGTGACCCAGCTCCCGTTTAAAGTCACTGTTGCTTGATTGTCCATTTCCCGCTTCCCAACAGTCCTCATTTCTGTTTGGGGATCTAGGAAATCCGGCTTCATTCCCAGTTGTAGGGACTGAGCATATACCGCAGGCCAGGCCAGGGCTATCCTTGGACTGAAGGGATTGAGTAGGCCAATGACGTAAGTCACCCCAATCTCAGGACCTCTTCTTGGGCTTTAGGGACCAAAGTGGTCCCTTTTCTCTGGATGCCATAGTGTACAGATGTAGGGCGTGGAACTGCTAGCAGCCACCTTGTAATGATGAGGGGGTATGAGAGAAGGAGGACTGAGAGAATCATCAAGAGAGAAAGCTGAAGTCCCACCGATACTGTGAACCCCTGGATCAAAAAACTATACCTGAAGTGTGACTGCTGCTGGACTTTGCAGATATATAAGCAATAACTCCCTTTTACTGTGTAAGTCTGAGTTAAGCTTTCAGGTATTTATAACTGAAAACATCCTAACTAGAATGAGGAAGGCAAAAAAAAAAAAAAAAAAAAAAACAAAAAAGTAAAAATACCCCCAAAAAATTCAAAA